GAAGATCTAAAGCCGTTCTGACACACATCTTGTACATTAAACGCTGGGTTCTGGTGGATGGAATATGGCAAATATTTATTTCTATAAACCTCAGCCATGTGGGCCACAGAAGTCCCAAAGTTAATTTAACCAAACCTGATTTTTTTTAAAAAAGCAACTGCTATACTTGTCCTATAGGATTTTGAGCTGATTAAATAATAAAAGAAAAATTGAACAAACGGTATAAAGATGGGGGCAAATAGTTACACCTCCGCCAGTATAAGCTGAAAATGTCATGATGCTATTACTTAGAGATGGCATTTTTGAGTGTATATGAACGGTTGTGGAAACTTTTATGAAAACTTTTTCTCACTTTCCTCACTAAGGTCAGATTTGCAAAGATACCAGTCCAAAATCCAGTGTTACACTGACAAAATTATTGAAATCATAGAAGAGGCACAAAAATGACTTGTTAATTTGTATTACATCCTTTCGCTGAATGCATCAGCTTTCTAACTCATTCTTGCCAGCAATATATTTTCAAAACCTTTACTTCTCAAATCTAAATTAAGATTTCACCCGTTTACAATTTTCTTTGAAATAAATTTTAAAAATTGTAAAAACAATCTCCTCATTTCCCTTCCCCTATCCAGAATCCCATCAAAAACGGATTGGAAATCGAATAGGACATCGCAATTCAAGGTCACCTAAGTCAGGTTCAGTGTCAAACAGTAGGGAGCTTATCTGGTTAAGCAATAAGACTCACAATGCCAGGGAAACAGCATCAGACTGCAAGACCCATGTCTTCCTGCCAATCACATCACAATAGATTTCACCTTCAGCATTAATCATCGTCTTTTTATTTAGTTATATAAAGTACTTAACAAAACTGTAAATTTCTAGTCCTCAGCAGTAAAATCACTTTCTTAGGCTGATTTCCTTAAGTTTATTACTTCCAAGAATGGCAACAGATAAGGTAGAATTCCTGAACATCTGACTAGATTTAGAAGCGATCACTTTTGGATTGCCTAATAGTCGCTTATGCACTTGTTGATTTGAGTTGGCTCTGATTTTAATCCCTTCCTAGTACTTTTTCTTCTTTATCATGTCCAACAGTTCCTTGAAATAAAATTGGTCATTCGCTTCAGTTGGAATTTGGCTGGCCACATTCACCTACAAATACACAGTCACCACACTTCACAGAAAAATCCTGGGAAGCACTTTGAGATGTCTCGACTATGTGATAAGGCGCTCTATCAAACGTATGGATTATTATCATTACTATTATATGTCCGTGTCATACATTATATGTACATGACGATATTATATGTCAACACTAATGTGTCCAGGACACTGTGAAAATGCGTTACAGCAGATTACTCTGGCGCGTACAAATAAAATGTTATAATTTATTTGTATGTGTCAATTATCAATTGCTCCTGTTTAGTGGGCTTTCAAGGACTTTTTTTACTGGTAAAGGATCACTGTTGAAAGTCAGCAGGGTAGCATCCATTCATTGTACCCAGAGTTGGCAACTGTATGCTGTTGGCGCTACCCAGCTGCCGTTACAGCAAAATCCATAGCCACAAACTTGCAAAAATCTTAACAGCCCAGTTGCAATAGCATGGGCCAAGCATTGGAAGATGGTAAGAACAATTAGCAGACAATAACCCTGTTGACAATTGGCGTGGAGTCTGCATCTTTCATGGAAGTGACATGGACTGTTAGCGAGCTCTTGCTTAGAAAAAGGGGAAAAAAATACCAATCAAACCACTGTCTTTTTAATGGTAAGATGAATGAGAAGACTTGAAAGCTTCATATAAGAATCGGCCTTCAACAGTTCAAAACATTCTGAGCTGTGATGGGCTCCTACGCTCAGGCCTATCTTTTGCCCCCTATAGAATAAGACAACAGAACTCCCACTAATCCTGTATTGAACTACTGAATCCATGTGGGAGTTTAAGCTGTTAAGTTATGTGGGAGCCAAAAGCGTGAGAAATCTGAATCTTGATTGTATTTCACCTCCCAAATAATACTTTTAACCGTATCCAGATATCTTAAAACTTTGTAGCAAGTTCATCTCTGAAGCTGTCACACGACACATAGCCTGAGAAACAAGCCTGCTGTGCAAATGTTGAGACAAATGTGGTGATTTACTACAAAGACTACATTTATAAGCTACAAGACACTTTATCAAAGCCATTGAACCATTATGCGAAAGAAAACGTGCAATATTATGTAGACCACCTGAAAATATGCAGACGCATTTCCCTTTCTTAAATGCTGGAAATGAAGAGCAAGTTGATTGGATTCTGAGAGGATGGGTTAACAGTTCAACTGTGATCCCCTCATTGAAACACACCCAATGCAACATTATAAACATTAACCTATCTGTTCTTTTCGATGTTGCTCAATAGCTTGTACATTTTCAACATACTATTTCATTCTCTGTTCTACCGTGGAATTTTCTTTTTATCCCCTTTCAACATTCTCCAATGTGCATACAAATGTTCCAGTCCCACTATACAGTAATATCAATGTTTTTACCAAGGTTTACTTCTTCAAATTGAGTTCAGCCTGCAAAGTTTTCCGGGTCAAGGCAATATGGTTCATGTTGCCACAATATAATGCCACCATTCCCTGCCTTGTTCGCTTGTTTGGTAGACAAGCTCCCTACCAGAAAGGTCACTGTATGGGTCTCCTGCTGTATGCACAAGAACTTGCTTGGGAACTCCTCAGCAAATCGAGTTTTGCAATATTGGCAGGGAGCCATTTTCTCCATGAATTCTGCACTACCCAGCTGTCGGGATTCTGCATACCATCAACACTCACATATACAAATGGTCAAAGCATTCAGAATAAAGTTGGGGAGCTAGAGGCACTAATTAAAATGGAAAGATAAAATGTCATAGCTTTGACAGAAAGTTGGCTTCCTTCAGACAGGGTGGGATTGGAACCAGATATTCTCAGTTACAGAATTTTCAAGACAGATTAAGAGAAGCAAAAGGAAAAGTGGTGGGTTTATTAATTAAGGATACGATCAGAGGAATAGAAAGAAAGGAATTATAGAAGATGAGGTTTAGGAAAAGTCCACCTGGATCAAGTTTAGAAGCATTTTAAAAGATTTTCAATAGTAATAGAGTTGTAAATAATAGAACACTTTAATCTTTGTAGGGTTGACTAGATGTGACAAGGAGAGGATGCAGTACTATATCTTCTTCTGGGTAAGAAGCAGGGCAGGGATGCCTTAAATGGTATATTTATCTATACTAATAAAGATGAAATGTCTGTGTGTCTGTCCGTCTGCCAAGAACGCAATAAACGATTGGTGTAGAGCCACCACATATGTATGGACTCCAACCCGCAGTCCTCCCAACCCGCAGTCCTCCCAACCAGGTACGGCTAGTTACCAATATCAAGGAACAAAGATCTCAGGGATCTAGGGGTGCAAATACAAAGATCTTCAAAGTGAAGATGTGGGTAGACCACTGGGGAGATGACATACAAAGATTCCAACTACCCTCTCTGTAACGCAGCATTTCAGTCAACTATCACCAATGCACACCAATGTGAATACATGTGGGCTGAAATTCTAGTCGGCTTTATACTTACTGTCTTTGGCAATGTGGGATCATAACCATAACTAACCAGAACCTCAGCCCAGTTGTTTCAGGATTCTTAGTCAACAGCAAAAAATCTAATTCTGTGAAATTTAAAATTTCAAAGATCCTAAATTAGATTCTTAGTTTGATATAGACTTTCTTGACCTTGGATGTCTGGATTACACTCCTCCAATATATTGAGGTGAATTCAGTTGTCCTATGCAGGTTGTGACACATCTGTCATTCTAATACCCTGAAGTACCATCTGCATATAATGTGGAAAAATGTCAACTGCAATGGGAAATTTATCTTTCAAATGGTTCATGATACTGTCTCAAAAGTATTTCCATGTCACTTTTTATTACAGCCAAAATAAGTAAATTTAAAGATCAGTTACATTACAGAAAGAAAACTTGGTTTCTGAATCAAGAAACACATTGGTTTTACTGAAAGATGGATCTGTTAAATGTCAGCTATCATTTTCCAATAATTAAACCTTAAATAAGACCACATTTTAATACAAAAAATTAAATACAGACAAAAGTAAAAATATTAAACATTATTGATTTTGGTTTACAGGCTATTTTACTAGCCATCTCTAACTTGGCTACTGCATTAAAGAGGAGCTTTTTAAAAGCATTTGACCTTATACACAGAATTCTCCTTTAAAGGAGGCACAGTTAAATTGAGCACACTATGCTAAGACATTGCCATACAAAAGCAATTTCTACAGTACAGTACATAGTAAAATAACTCTCTTTTTGGTTGCAGAACAAATGCATGATACTAACAATGATAAAAGTATTAACATATGGATGCCACACAACTGTTTGAATACATAACGAACCTGGGTTTCTTAAGAACTTAAAAAATAATTACATCCAAGAAACCAAAGTTCTTACACTTGGTCATTGTGTACATTATGTAAAATGAGAATAATGTCTGGGAACATAAAACCATCCCCTTTAAAGCCACTCCAAAGTAAACTGAGCTATTATTAAAAAAAATGTAGTTAGCATTTAAATATTATGTTTCACTCAGTACCTTAATCCTTGACTGGCCACAATGACATCACTGTCACAAAAAAGTAGTTTTTTCCATCTGTGTCTTCTCACAGTCTTCAGCAATCATGCAGAGGCTTGTCATTTACTAAAAGTCATGCCCTTTACGTTCATGTCAAACAAAATAATCATCTGAAGCTACATTACACAATGTAAAATGGCTAGCTCTCCAGGCACTGGCAGAATGGCAGGTGGGCCTAAAGAAAGTCTGTACTGCCTGTCATTGGAAAGCCTTCTGAAGTTGGTGCCCATGTAGTTACAAGGAAACAAAGCATGTCAGCCTGCCTTTGAGAACATCTTCTTGGCAGTGCGTCTGACAAATGCTGCATTTTGGCTGCAAAACATCGATGGCAAATCTTCACTTCACAGGAGCAGCATTGCTCTGATTACGAGAGACAACCCACTCCATGAAGACATCCCTGTAGAAGACACAAGATTTTAACCTCATTGCAATTACATTTAATCTGAATGAAACATTCCACAAATATTATTACAGAGCCTTAGGCATTATAGCACATATTTCAAAGCCAGTTAGATAATTAAACTCTATTCTTTTTTTCTCTCTCTGCCAATATATCTGGACCACAACACGAGAACGAAAAGGTCACTTGAGCAGTAGATTGAAATTAGATTTTAGTGATAACATGCATCTTAACCTTTTCAAAGCCAGGCCTGTGTGTTTTAATTTAATTAAAGCTTGAAAGAAACGTTTATGGTAGAGTTAAAATTAAAGTTCGAATGCACACCTGGTGATTTGCCTCTGGATTTACCACAATCACTTTCCCTGCATTAGAATTTCAAATCCATGAATACATATCAATACTATCTAGCAGAAATAACATCCCATCATGTTGGCACTTTTATAATTGCTCAATAAAATGGTCACGCATTGGTATGATTATGGTAACTCAACTGGCAAATAAGACCTAATCAGTAGTAATAAGATTGGAATTGCACTGTAAACACATCATGTATAATGTTTCAAAGTAGATCTCAGCTGTAACTGGGAATCTATGCTCAAAATAAACATCACAAACTGAAAAATAGTGATGCTGTTAAAACCAGAAATGGATGGCATTGATGCTGATTTTTATTTCTGTTTGTTGGCAATTGCAACATCCACATTTCCTATTCCACCACTGACTGAACATTATCAAACCTAATATTACATCCTATACATGGCGTAGAATGGGGCAGGCAGGAAATAACAAACTCTAAATGTGCAGCACGCTCCTACGCAGCAGGTACATCACTCGAAAGACATCAGGTTGATATTTGTAGAATTTGTCAACGATTTTTTCCGGATCTATTTACAATACGGCAACAGTGAAATGGCACAACGAACTAATGATCATGTTAAGACCAAGTCAGAATGAGAGACTTGTACACGGATACTCATCTGCAGTGTGACTCTGCATACACAATGTATTAGAAGCACAACATTATTTACTGTAAGTATTAAAGGATTTTAAAGGAGTTTTTTCTTAACATTTTCAAAATCTACCAGATTTACTTGTGCTAAGAAATGTGTCCTGCTATTCAGTGTCTCATCTGTGGAAATATCTGCAAATAATTTCATTTTTCAATGGTCCAGACCCATAACTTTCCATATTTTTAGAATTAAGAATCCATTCCTCTGAACCAATCTTTTTTATTATTTCTTTTATACACACACTCACGCAATATGTTCTGGCTTTCATTAATGAGAAACATTAGTCTTTACATTCAGAAGATGCAGTGTATATATGTTTTTCTACATTACAGGCCCTGATGGGATAATCAGTACTTGATCGGTTTTAAACTGACAGTGATTGATGGTTGAAATTACAAGTACTAAAACGAAATCGGCACATTAAGATCGCTCTGCATCTTAATGTGTTCTAAGACAATGGAAAAGTATTGCCGAGCCCATCTCTGCCTTTAAAATGGGTTTCCATCAGACAAAACTTGAATTGCATGAGCTACCACTGCCTTTAAAGACTTTGTGAATTAGAGATTTTTAGTTGAAAATATGCTGCACGCTTGCTTTGATATTTTCGTTTTGTTTCTGTCAGTTAAGTGTGGCTTGAAAAATATAGTCTTTATTTAATCTGAATGTAATTGATCTGGTAAAACAGGTATATGTGAAATATTACCTGCAGTGGTTAACTACACACCCGCTGCTACAGTATTCATTATCCCACTCCACACTCTGGATTGGTGGATTTGTGCAGCCAGTCCTCATGCATCGTATTGGAGTGGTAGCACCCACAGGAGCTGGTAGGGGAGAGGTGATGACAGGCTGGACTTCGGGTAGAGACGGTGAAAAGGTCTGGAAGTAGTTAAAAACTATTTAAATATGTGAATCTTTTCTAATTTTAATCCAAATGTTTTAAATGGTCCTGTTGTGGACGGCAAATAGCCTGAGAACTTTCATCTCTCTCTCCAGTGGTCAACAAGATGTGAATGTAATAGAAGGAGTATCAATAGCCGACAATGAATAATGATACCAGCTCTTCATGCAGTGAATAGCTAGGGGTCCCAAGAAGGTGTTTTCTGCCTTAATAGCATGTCTTGATGCACCAAATGTAAAGCTGCTCCCCACTCCAGCCTCCTGGTAAGCAGAGTGTACACACAATGGTTTTGAATACTGCCTAAGGTCAAGCATTAAACCTTATGCAAAGTAACAGAACTCGCACTCATTCTTTTCAAGGGAGTGATTGACCTACGGATACAGGAATGAAGAAAATTATACTTACTTTGGCTTCCAACAGACAAGAACTAGCAAGGATTGCATACAAATTAGAGAGCCAAAGCACTCCTCAACAAAAGAGGGGTCATTTTAGGCACTGCCGTCTCAAAAAAAGCATTATTTTCTGAGAGCATGTCCTTGTAAATTCAACACAATAATTGGTAATTACAATTCAAATAAAAAATTAGCAAAGGCACCATTTGAATGTTTTAATACCAGAAATTAATTGGATTGACAGTATGAGGTTCAACTAATCTACCCTGCCTTTGTATTTTCACAGAGCAGTGTTTGAAATGGAAAACTGAGCAAAGTGACACTTTTTGAATCACAATCCACGTTATCTTCACAGTACGCAACATAAACACAAAAGGACTGAGCAAAGGCAAAACACACATACAAAAATATATCTCTGCCTCTCCCATTTATCTAAAGTACACTACCACAATGCCATGTTCCCATGGAAACAAACAGATAACCTGTATTGAAAAGAAAACAATGATAGATTACATGTACATGCAATGTCATATCCAATTAACTCAAATTGACTGTGTACTGCATTATGCGGCTTCCCCTACAGCAGATCAATAAATATAAGCTAAATCCAACAAAGTTCTCAATTTTTTTCCCAGCCCAGCGTACTAAGTCCAAGACAGATCATGCTACTCTGATCCGAACACTGCTGCTAAGGGGGCAGGTGGTGAATAGACACCATTCAAACTTGGCCTATTCAGTCCAAACTACTCTAACACTCCATTCATGCATAGCAAAACACCATCTGGTCCTATTTTCCCTCCAGCAATCACAGCTGACCAAAAACGATGATAACAGCTGTTACAAAACAAAAGCCAAACAAAGGGGCAGGAAAGGTTATACTCCAGTCCAGTCCTGAAAAATAGTCCATGAAGTGGTAATGGAAAGACGCCTTTCAAATGCTTAAAGACTATTCAATGGAGCAGGCAGAAGACACTGGTTAAACCTGAGATATTTAATCCATCTGTCTCGGAATACTGCACACATCAATGGGTCAGGTGATAATGGTTGACTGAAATTATGCTGCTTACAGTCTTCGAGGCAGTTGTACTCTAACTTGGTGATTAATGACATGGTGCCAACTATAATTAAAACTTTTTGTGTTCTTTCAACTTATGTCAATGCTGATTTAATGGGAACTGAACTTGTTTTGTGCCGGAATGATGATACTGCTCTCTGCAAACATGGGAAGGGGCCTACTATGCTCTCTCACTGGACTCGATGAAAACAAATGGGATCATTTAAGCCTCAATGAGTTAAAAAACAGTGAAGCTCATCAAATGTTTTTTACGATTTTTAACATAGCTATTTGCACAATGAATAGGTAATGAAGGGATCTTTTTTTCCATGCGGGTGAGGTATCACATCATATTTTTTCTTTGGAGTTAATTTCCCTAGGGTAGAATAATTCACATCAACTTTAATTTCTGAAACAGGCCGAAAAATAAAATATGATCACAGCACTCGTGTCAAAAACATATTTATACACAATGGTAAATTGTCAAAAAAGAACATCTTTATATTGTAAAACTGCTAAACTCGTATCAATTTTCTGATGCTAAAAGAGATGCTAATTGGACAAGAACATTTCCATACAGCAAGCTTTGTCCTTTCCAGTGTAATTTATTCTCAGCAGTGAGTTTAAGAATTTAATCAGATACACACTACCACGTTATTAAATATTTGTACACAAGGATCAAAAGCACAGAACAGTTGCGCAGCAAAGGAGAAACCTGTGTTTCTTTATCAATGAGACGTGTAATCCAGTCTCTATACAATACCTGCTATTTCCTGAGTGCTCATTATTTTAATTTCTGTTTGCATCTAGTAGCTGGTAGCTATGGACACATACTCTAGCATGTACCCCAGTGTGTATTGGGATTCCAGTCATGCATGACACTTGCTGTTTTTAATTTTCATTTTATCATCAGCAGTTTAAGGTTGTTGCCAGTGCTAATTTGCAATTTTAACCAGACTTCTTCACTATAGCTTCTGACAGGACAGATGCTGTAATTAATCACTGGAGACAGCTGGGGACGGCAGCCATGCTGTTCCAGAAAACATTACTACTGCAGCGTTATTTTTGAAGCACTTGGATGAGAAATGAAATAACGTGAACTGCTAATTCCATCTGTGTGCTCACAAAGGTGCTCAGTATATTTTTTTTCTCAACGCTCGTAGCACAAAATTCCTGATACATCTCCTGGTGAGGAATATTACTTGTGTTAAGGATTCCTAATACAACCCAACACAATCCAATCCAGAAGTAGTTCAACGAATGTTATTTCTTTTAGCACACAACGCAGCCTTTGAACTCAGATTCTTTACAGTACATCACTGTGCAGGCTGGGCAGAGTAATTCTCAGTTTTGAGAGCAAATTTTGATTACAGAACACTGCATTAGGATGCTCTGTGGAATGACCACAGCAGTGCAATGGAGAATGTTCTGAAAAGAATGAATTCGGTTGGTAGAGCTCAATGAAAAAAAGGTGGACAGTTGTAATTTCAAGTGGTCAAAGAACATACAGTAGTTTACTACGTAACATACTTCTCTATTCTGCACCACACTTTTCCTGAGGATTCAATTTGGCTCGAGTTCCACGTCCCAAACAAACTACTGTATTGAATTGATGCCAAGGGCTGTAGTATGAAACTGCTTTTCAATTTTTGTTGAAGATAAAAACACCTCATCAATAAATGTTCTTGGGCAATTCATTTGATGGCCATTAAGAGTTTTAATGTTCTCCACAAGTCAGTCACCCAACCTGCTCTTTAATAACATTTAAAATGCAACCAGCATGCAAAGTTATCCTCAGTCCTTGGTCAGAGTGATTAACAGCAGAGAATGTGAATCCAGATTCCAGTTTCAATTGCTCTACCAACTCTTTAACAGGGCACAAAGTAATTCAAGTCAAATTCTAACTTAAAACATAAAAACATGTCAGTGTTTGCACCTCCACGATTCAGACCATCCTAATCCCAAATCCTTGCTCTTTCCCCTCCGTCTTCTGTGTGTTCTGTCTAATTCTTTTCTGAATGCCTTTGTATTCACTTAATTGTTCTATTTAACAATTGCAGGACTAAATACTGTAAAACAAATGTGTTTCACCAAACTTGTTAGTGGGATGTAGCTGCAGGTGGAAGGTGATTTGGGAAAAATAGCATCTAATTTGCACAATATTTCTTAGCAGGATTTCTTAGAATTTGCATCACTAAGACTAATAAGGAAGCGAAGTACAGCTAATGTAGAATTTTTAGATAAATGCACTATGTTAATTAAATATCCCTCATGGTTGTTTAAAAGATATTGCTGTGTGCAAATTGGCTGCCTCGTTTGCCTACAAATGCACAATCACTACACTTCACAGTAAAATCTTGTGAAGCGCTTTGAGACATCTCAAGGACATGTTAAGCCACTATACCAAATGCAAGGATTATTATTAATAGTTCTAAAATTATATTAAATATGACTGCACTCATGTACCACTCATTTCTTTAACGTTGCGACTTTTATTTAACCAAATGGCTAAATTATTGTTGCACAGTTTCTTCAAAGAACTAGATTACAAAGAAAGATGAAGGAGATATCATCGCTGTACAAAATGTGTTTTATACAGAGGGCAGAAGAGAACTAAATATCTGTTACACATTGACATCGATAACTCTATTGAATGTGCAATGATTTTTTGGTGGGGTAGTGGGAGGAGGAAGTCTACATTGGGATCATCCTTTGTCAAGTCACTGCAGAATATTGTGGAGTAAAAATGTTTTTTTAGATAATTAATACACCAGATTTACCAACATTACGCAGTTCCCAGTCATCACCCTTGACTGTCGATATTATCTGTGCCTGGATTAGGTCAAGTGTGGCTGAGGAAGTTTCCTAATTAGAATAGTTACTGACCTGCGGCAATATTTGGGTCTGGGCCTGGGTTTGTAGTGGAGATTGCTGTTGTTGCTGAGCTGGCTGTGGACTTGACCGGGTGGGGATTGGCGAAGTGATCTGCGTGGCCACCACCGACTGCGTTGGGACAGGGGAATGCTGAGGTGGCGAGTGCTGAGGTGGGGGTTGCTGCTGCTGCTGTTGCTGTTGCAGTATTTGCTGTTTTTGCATGTGTTGCAGCTGCATTTGCTGTAACTGCTGTTGGATCTGCTGCTGCTGGAGCTGCTGCTGGAGCTGTTGCTGCATGTGTTGTTGCATCTGCTGCTGCATCTGCTGCTGTTGCTGCATTTGGTGCTGTTGCTGCATGTGGTGCTGCTGCTGCTGGATTTGGTGCTGTTGCTGGATCTGCTGGTGTTGCATCTGCTGCTGCATTTGCTGCTGCATCTGATGCTGCTGGAAGTGCTGCAACTGCTGCTGCTGCATCTGCTGCATGTGATGTTGCTGCGGCTGCAGCGGAGGGCTGAGCTGGGGCGAAGGTGGAGTGGGCACCATGTTCGACGACATGCTGGCCGCCATGTTAACTGACGACACCAGTTGATTGGCTTGCAAGGGCATCCTCAGCGGCTTGGGGGCTATTGCCCTCGGCAGTGTCTGTTGAAGAGACTGGGCCGAGGCCGAGGTGGGTCCATGCTGAGAAAGCGGGGAATTCATAAGGAGGGACGACGAAAGACTGGTCGACGCCAAAGTCTGTTGAACAGAACGCATGGTCTGAGCTTCGGCAGATTCGGCTGCAGCCTAGGGAGAGAATGCAATATAGCAACATGAGGTCAGGTAACACAACGCAATTAACATTTGCGTCGTGGCATTTCACTTTGGGAGGATGTCTCAAATCGCCTCACACTGGAGGCTGGATACCCGAGCTGGAGTTTGGATACCCAGGGAGATGGGGAGAGGAATGATGACCGAAAGCGCGGTTCAAAGAAGTACGTTTCGAGATGTGCCTCAAAAGATGGAAGTCAGGGAGGGAGCAAGTCAGAAAGACTGCGGGGATGAAGTTCCAGAGAGCAGAGACATATCAGTTGAAAGCCTATTCACCAAGAGTGGGACAGAACACAATACAAATTAATAATACAATAAGACTCATAAAGAACCTTTACGATAGAGGGTATTCGGTAGATAATGATCACGGTTATGAAAGGTGATAACTATACCATCAATTGCAAGTACCAGCTCACCGCTAGATTTAGATTTTCTTTTAAAAAAAAGCATTGCTATTTTCAAAATGAAATTATATTTTCTCAGCTTCTCAATGTACTTTGGTGCAAATGCACAGACTGGACTGTTCTGGGCTGTTGTCAATCTGGACTCATTTGTATTTGTAAGTGATTTGCTATGTACCAATCACAGAAAGCCATGTACTCATCACATGTCAAATGTTGGCTTTCCATCTCCCAAGCTTTGCTTCAGTCTTTCCCAGGTAGATAGATACAGCAGCTCTTTAAAAGTGAGGCATTAAACAAAATAAGGTTACCTTTCCCTTTAATAACAATAATAATCCTTGCATTTGATATAGCCCTTATCATGCCTTCGAAACGTCTTAAAGCGCTTCACAGAATATACTGTAAAGTGAATTGACTGAATATTTTGTGGGCGAAACAAGAATAATACAGGAGAAAGTACAAATATACACCTCCTTCTGATCCTTTTGCTAGTTTTACATTTTAAGTGAATTAAAGGGAAAGGGCATTGAATCTTCCCTTTATTTATATATTTTTTTCCGACACTGCCCCCAGGGTATTCCTGTACTTAAACTGACATTTCACACTTATTTCAGTATTGCTATGATGCCATTGGTGCTTAGAGGGTGATGATCAGGTGAATCAGTTTGGATGTGCCAGAGAGACTGTTGTTAGGATTCTGTTGGTTTAGTATGTTTATTCGGGTAAGAAAAAAAAACTCGACTTCCCATACGATAAAGAGCAGTGATAAAAATCAGATAATACTATCAATTGCACACCAAGAAAAATAAGCATGTATAAAGCTGCTAACTACGATATTAATCAATCCCTGTCAAAACAGATTTTCTAATACAGACTACTGCACATTGGATTCAGCCCAGTCTTGAAAAATATAAAATGCGTAATGAGATGAAAGAAAAACAGTTTCATATGATACATGGTTTGAATTCCTATTAATGAGGCTTACTTTTGTCAGTCAAAACGTATCTCACAGTTAGAAGATACGGAATGGGGATTGATAAGGTGCTGTTTGCATTCAGTACGACAACAGTCAGTTACACTGATCTGTGCAGAAGGTAGAAGTACAACATAGAACAGCAACCACATTTCATTCAGTCCTCATTAAATATTAATTTATACCAGAAGTACACAACAACTTGTATTTGTAAAGAACTGGTCATGCAGAATAGCATCTCGGAGTGCTGCACAGTGGTGGGGTTGGACTCTGAACAAGCAAAAGGGGGAGGTGACCATAGGCTCAGTCCAAGAGATGGGTCTTCAGGTGGGATTTAAAGAGAAGACTGATGAACCAAAGAGCCTTCTTCATCCATCACATTTGTGAAACACAGAACTCAGCACAACTGTACAAACTGCATTCAGTATATTCCTACCTTTGAAACGAGGCTGGCTCTGTAAGCAGCAAGAGCTTTTAGGTATTCTTTTTTGGCAGCTTCAGTTTTCCTTTTGTAGACCTAGATAAAAATAGAGATTTCTCATTTGTTGAACTGCAATGCACTGCAATCAAACCAAGTATAATAATAATCCTTGCATTTCATATAGCAACTTTCACATTAGGAGGACGTCTCAAAGAGCTTCACAGGATTTAGTGTAGTGACTGTGTATTTTGTAGGTGAAATACCTACAAATACCTAGGCTCATCAAAATCTATGTTAGCAAAAGAGAGCTATTCAGTTCAAGGTTTGTCACTGCATTGGCCAGTGTTACCTGCTTTTGCTCCTCTCCCAGACTGTCCCACATGGATGCCACAATTTTGGAAACTTCTCCAAATGTAGCATTTGGGTTTTGTCCTTTAATGGCAGCTTGAGTGTCCCTGAAGAACAGCGCATAGGCTGACACTGGCTTCTGGGGCTCGTTGGGATCTTTCTTCTTCTTTTTCTTTGGCGTCTTCGGTTTTTTCCCCGAATCTCCTGCAGCTCGTTTTTCAACACTTACCTGAGACAAAAATCAAAATATATATATTATGTGTATAGTTGGTTACAACAAGTGCTCACTTCAAGGGGATTAAAAATCAAGAGACTGGATGGAGCACATTCTTTACATAAATGGTGTTGAAAAGTCATCATTCATTGAGGAGTCTAAGATCATTAAGAACATGGATAAAATTGAAAGAACAAACATTTCTACAGTTATTCTTAGCTGAATCAAATATGACAATGCATCAAATGTCTTTAAGCATTAAACGCACAGTATACTTTTGCATTATAAAGGATTTAGCAGCAGCAGATCAAAGCTCTAGGCAATCAAATATATAGCTGTCTTTTCGTGATCTGGATTAGCTAAATTGCTTTAAAACAATCTCTAAAGTGCTTGACAGAATAAAGGCATATCAAGGCAGATTAGTTAATCAAATATCGCTCCCTCAAAGTAAACAAAAAATTACAATTATCTCGTAAAAATGAGCAGTGACATTTTGATGGAACTGTTCATTTACTTTTTCCTCAGAACTGACCAAGAGAGATTTGGAATTTGTTGACCTTGAAATTTAGTTGATCTGCACTAAACCCTTACCAGTTCTGAAAATGGATCAAGTCGAAAAACAGAAAAATAAACATCCCTTATTTAGCAACCTGCAATACATTTATCTTTTTAATAGGCAGAACAGCGCGGCTCAGAGGAAGAACAAGCACCATCAAATATTATGACAAGGACGTCAACCGCAACTGTTATCGTTTAAACATAAATACATGACAAGAACTGAAAGAAAATTAGTGTTACAATGACTGTAAGCAAACAAACATACCCTGTTGAATTCCTCAGGATCATCGTCATTTACAGAGCTGGAAGGAGATGGGGTAGCGGACTTGCTAGCAGGGGGTGAGGGTGAACTGTGTGGCATGTTAGCACCTCCTAAAGTCAACCCCAGCTGTGCACTCAGCTGGGATTGATTAATAGTGGTCAGCTGACTGTGTTGCATCCTTCCTGTTTGATTAACATCGGTCATGTGAACCACAGACCTCATGCCCATGGTAGGATCATGGTGGTACTGGGAAACTTGCGTCTGACCCAGGTCCTGCGTTAGAACAAGAATAAAACACGATTCAAGAATAGAAGGTGAACTGGCACACGCCTTAAGGAAGCGGGATTAGAACATCCCTTTCTACCATTAGATACAGATGATATGTCAAGCCCAGCAACGAGAGAAGATGGGCATCTCCACAAACAAAGCTGAGTTAATAATGACCAGCCTCAGAAGTGGTCATCCCTCTCATGCATTACCGCTGGACCCAAGATGTTCTGGTATTAAAACTGCATCTTTAACTGGTACACTCAGGGTATACAAAAGTAAAGCTGGTTGATTACCAAGTAAGTGACATAAACATTTGTTAGTCAGGTCTGCCTTATCAATGGAGATATTTGTAACATGACATAGCTAGCTGCAGTGTAGTCTGTCTATGACAATTATAGCACTAACAAATCAGGTTAAACCACTTTGGTTTATCTTTTTATCACCAAGTGCAGCCATTTTAATTCCAAATGAATAGGGTTCGATGTGTTAGCATGTATCCTTCCATCTCGAAGAGCTCACTTTCAATGATACACGGATGATGGGATGAAAGTTTCCTCTCTCTCTCTGTCTGCCACTAAGTAATCTCCCACTAGTTCAAATGTGTGTAAACCATATCACAAAAACTGTCAGAATTAATTGGAACTGAACTAGTTACTCAATCAAAGAGACCATCAAAGAGGTTGAAGATACTAATACAAGAAAAGCATTTTTATGAGGTTGGATGAATGACAATTGCAAAAGGATTTGTAAATCGCAAGTCTGGAGCTTCTTTGGCTGCAAATTGGTTTGCGAATCTTAAAATTACAACAACAACAAATTACATTTGTATAGCGCCTTTCACATTGTTGTTAGACACGACATGAAAGGCGCTATACAAATTAGACTCTGATGTATGGAAAAACTGGAAAATATTCCATTCCCTAAGCCCAGCTTTCAATGTTGAGTTCAAATAATGACCAAAATTCAAGCCTAAAACAAATTCACCTCACTTTGTAATCCAAGCATGGGTGAGGAACGCTATATAAATGTATCACCATAGGCTCTAGCACAATAGAGCAACTGGCCTACAGTTCATTTACTTTTACCCATATCTATATTTCTATTCTTTGTGAGCAAAAGATTTTCCTTTAATGGGCTATTAAATCTTTGAATCCCAATATAGCCTTCTGGCAGAAATTACAGTGAGAGATTGAAAAACCCAACACTCTGATTAAGGGACATTCACTATCAGTCAGTTTATATTGTTTTCGGTTGATTTTTGTATAACTGGAAACAATGGGATTTAATAGCTCCACAATTGTGCTCCTTTATTATGCTGCTTTCTTATAATAGCACAGCCTTGTAAATCGACCTTTTTGTCTGATAATGAGATGCATGCTGTAGTGAATGTCCCATAACATCAAACAGCATTAAATGAAACATGGAAATATGGGGAGTCAAGATGCAATAGCCTCATCATAGAGATTGTGTTAGAACTGAAAGCTTTGTAGTGAGGGTGCTTATGTTATAACAATTGATTCATACACTGTTAAACTTCAACAATGGGAACTACAAATACACTCAGATACAAACCATTGTCTAAATGAACGATATTGTGAGGAAAAGTCTTTATTGCTATCTGCACCAGCTAAATGTTATTAAAAAAGTGTTGACAGAAACGAGAAAAATAATGCTCTGCAGCCATTGAAATAGCTCACGTCATGTTTGTGTGGCAAAACAAACTGACAGGCACAACAAATTACAGGCCAGTTCTTCGGATTAAACACAAAAGGTGCCACAAATTTAAAAAAATGTAACCAAAGCAACCCTTGCAAAATGTGAAAGCTGACACAAAAATGATTCAGGAACTTATCAATCGGGTTCCTGGTTCCATTTTTATTTTGCCGGGGGGGGGGGGAATTAAATATCAACAGAGGAAACAAATGCAATTTTTTTTAAAAGGATAAAATTAGCTCTAATTATAACCCATTCTGAAGAGCAGGGAGATAATCACTGTCTTGGTAAATTTCCATCTCTTCTTCATAATTTAAAACCTCCTGTTCCTTAACTCCTACACCAAAGGCATTTTGTTTTACTTCATGTCCTCTGGCCACCGATGACTGTGCACCATGTTTATTTTTATCGTAGATACTCATTTATTTAAACGTCAAATTTACAGAAACTTTCTCAATTATTGCCTGCTGAATCACATTGGGTTTCCAACAGGCCATTGTGTTTCATTTGTAAAGTTATTTTGCTATAATGGAAAATTCCATAGGTAAAGTAATGTCTTTTGTAAAGAGGAAATCAACAGCTGTGGAGTGAACATTTTGTCCAAAAGAACCAAACGTTCCAGACATTAAGCATTTTAATGTTCCATAAAAGTGTTATTTCACTCGCAGCTCAGGAAAACAAGATTGTTAATTCACACAATTGATTAAAAATGTGAATTTGTTTGGAGGTGCCTGCAATGTTCTCAAAATGAAGGCTGAAAAATTACTTCTTGTACCACTCAAAGTTAAATTGTACGAGAAATCACAAAAGAAAGTCATTAAATATGATTGTTTGCAATGTAGTAAAGTATACAGACAAATGCTTCCCCCAGATCAATTTTTGCAAAACATTTAAAAAAAAATGTAATTCAACATTGAGGAATGGGATTGTCATAAAGGTATAATTAGATTCCAATACGTTTCCTACACAATGGTCCTTTGTAACTATTAGATGCATCAATTCATACTTGCAAAGATTGCAACTGTGCATTTGGAGAGAAAATACAGCAATTTCAGCAGGACTTTGTTTTAAATAAGGATCCTGAATGGAAAATGGGGTCCCTTCCAAGTACCGGAAATCCGTCCAATGTCACAACCAACTTTCTGGGTGGTGTATTCGTGGCTACAAGGAGGAATCCCCATTTGCGACTCAGAATAATCAGAATTCCTGTTTGAAATCTCCGTCTACTCTTGCCTGTAAATGCAAATGGGTACAAATTCCATTCAGCGTTACCAGGCTCCGAACCCATTTTAAAACCCCAACATCACCAAAGATCACCAACTTCTTTTTTAGCCCAGTTATCGTTTCGAATCTCAGCTGAATCTTGTCACTTAAAAGGAATACAAACTCATAAATAAACAATGAACTGGGATAATTCCAGTAGGTGTGGATAGGAGCTGGTACTCTGAAACTGTATACACTTCAGTAAATTACACACTTAATGGTACACTATATACACTTCAGTGAAATCTACTGCATTAGCTGAATAATAAATGAGGACTGTGGGATGATGCATTTCACTCTGACATTCACTGTTCTTTCAGAGTTAATATCAGAATTCATTAAAACTAACCTTACATAACATACAGCAAAGTCCTCTAGCACTTCCAAGTCAAAGCTGGAAAGACTGTTAACAAGTTCAATTTTCATTCAATCAGCAGTAGTGCTCTCTGAAATGTTTCATTGCAGAAGAGGAATAAAATAATCTATATGGTAATTATGAGGATGAATCCCCCAGCAACTTTCACCAACATGAAAGGTCAGCTCTATTCAGACATTTTATCAGCCCTCTGCACATACTCCTGTTCTGTCAATTTAAATGTGAACTGTGTTTTATTTTCTCATTCACAACTACCTGCAGAATTAAGCTCTTAAACCAAATGAGAAAAATGAAATTCTGAATGCTACCAAAGCCTATAATAGTGCAGAGATAAATCGCTCAGCTGTTTTCCCTGAAGTCTCTAGGGCCGAAGATTTTTCTGCAGTGCACTGTGGGTATTCAGAAGTTGTTCAACATGATTTCATTTCATTTCTGGCACAGCCTGAGAAAACTAAATTACAGAATCAATCATACAGAAGGTCAGAGTGAGACTTCATTACAAGTATTGCCATGCTTGCATGAATATCTTTCATTTCTGACTGACCCAATATGTCACAATAGCTGTCTAGTAAAAATTCCACTTTCTGAAACTGATGTACTACAGAAGTCATTGCTACTCAGTGGGCTGGACAGATTATGGAGAGGTGCTAAGGGAATCTGCTAAACCACTAGCTACGGTTTCAAATAAAATAAGGGGAACCCTGTTATAATGCCCTTCAATAGAATGCTGCCGTGCTTATAGGGCGGACCTTTCCTGTGTGCCCACACAAATCGGAAGTGCGGTGTGTCCAGTTTCTGACGTGACTAGCCAGCTTCCCACAATAAAAAAATGACTGACTTCTGCGTAGGCAGGTCATCACTGACATCAGTTCCTGCGCTCTGCATGTACGCGCATTATGTGTGCAGGAAGCTTCGTTGATGACATTTCCAACTCACACACAGTCATAAGTGATGCTTCCTGTGTATAACACACATACACAGCACACAGGAAGCAACTTCAGGGACAACCTAATAACCCAGAACATAGCCAGGTTTTTTCACACGCCTCACTCATAATGCGCCCACTGAGATATTGGACCAAATCAGTTGCATTATAATGGAGTTTCCCCTATTTTGCTTGCCCAATCGCCTCGGTGGATAAAATCACTGACCGGAGTAGCACTAAACTATACGAACTAGAAGGTTACAGGTTTGATTTGATGTCTGAGCGCAGTTAGCTAATCTCAGCTGGGAAGCAATCAAAGCAACTATAATTATCCGTAATGCCTGCGCAGAGAGGAGGGAAGAATTCAGCCACGTTTTCCACTCAAGATCATTGTCCAGTATACAAAAGAAAGGTTCAACTTATCTGCTCGACCTATAGTGCTTTGAAATGTTTCCTTCCCATTAAGTGCACCTGTGCTATTACCTTATGCTCTAAACCACTGCACTTTTCCCAGGGACAGTTCCGCCACTTTGAACAATGACACTCAAAATGATCAGGCTTCTGTCAAAAGTACTAGGGCGCATTACGCTGCAAGTCAAATTGCTCTACGCAGGACAGAGAAACCTACGCAGAACCTCACGGCCTTTTTAGCACAGTCTAGAAGAACTCAGAGGAGTGAATAACGTTTTGACTACATCCTGAGGTATACCAAGATTATAAACTGTA